TGATGGGGGAGTGGGTGTCTGAAAAGGACCGGCCAGGGGCTCCAGGGTATCCTTCACGTGTGCACAGCTCTGCTCCAGCTCCTCCTCACTCTTCCTCTCTTGCCCATGCTTGACCTCTTCTCTGCCTACTCTTTTCTATCTTTCCTTTTGCAGGCTGCACCAAACTGCCCCTGTCTGGTAAGTGCCTGGGCTCTGCATGTGTGTGCTCTTTCCCAGTGCGATGGTTTAGCGAGAGCGGGTACTGTCCTGCCCTGCTCACTGTCCTCATCCATCACCTCTCCCCTCTGACCCACATCTTCACAGGGTGAGAGCACCCTCTGATCCCCACCTTCTGGGGTCCCTCTGGGGGTGGCACAGCCTGCCCCGGGGCTGGCAGGGGGCTGGCATCACATTCCTGGTGGCAAACTGGGTGGTTTTGGTGCAGGGGACGCTGCTCCATCTCACCAGCACCTAATGCCATGTAGTACCTGGGCAGCAGGGGACTTGCTGGGCACCTCCCAGCTCCCCAGTGAACCCCAGTGCCATGGAGTGACAGCAGAACAAGGGTCCCATGCTGGAGGGCTGCAAGGTGGGTGTGCAGGAGTCACAAGCCCCAGGGGTCTGCCGTTAGTGGGGGCTAACCCCTGTTTTCCCTCAGGCGGGAGGATGCCCCCTCCTTGCGTGGGGACAAGCCTGTTTTGAGGAGGTTTGAGTAAGTAGAGGCATGCGTGTGTCTCTAGGCATGTGCTTCCTCAGGCCAGTGCCTGCTGGAGGCATCTGGGCTCTGTCCACGCAGGGCATGAGGAGCAGGATGGTCCCCACAAGTCTCTGCCCAGGTTTTGCAGCTTTTGGATGAGGGTTGCAGTGAGCACGGGGTCTGCTGGGGCCAAAAGATGACAATGGCATCCTGACAGCATGAGCCTTTGGCTCCCATGGGACTGTGGCATCCCTGTCCCTAAGCCATGGTGGCATCACCTGCCTCTTTGCAGCACTCAGAGAAGGTTGAATCCTCCATGTTCTCAATGTGGTGTGGCCAGAGCAGGGGATTTCTGTGCTGTGGGACTGGCTGTGCAGTGTGTTGTGGTGTGGTTTGCCCATTGTCCCAATCATCCCCATCTCTGCCTTGCTTCTGGCCAACATCTGCCTCTGTCTTGCAGAGCTCGCTTCTTGGAGAACCTGGCTGCAGCCCAGAAGGAGAAGATCTCTTCCATGACCAAGGGTCTTCTCGATGCCCTCAGCGATGCTGTGCTGGAGCATCCCACCACTTTCACTTGGGACAGGGACAGCAGTGCCTCTGAACCCGGTATGGAGCCACCCAACACATGTAGGTGCTACCAGGGTGTGTGTTCTGGCGCTGGGCTCATTGGGGTCCCAGGATGAGCATTAGTAGCCCTTCTGCCCACTGAGCTCAGAGCCATGGAGGAGCTGGGTGGTGCCTCCCTGTCCTGCTCCGAATACTGCCATCCAAGCATAGCCCACCAAGAGCAGGACCCCAACTCTATCTGCAGCCCAGTAGCACCTACCTCAGCCTCTCCCCTTCTCCCTGCAGGGTCTTGCCTGGCTCAGCAGGACACCACCGACTCCTGCAGCACCATCAACTCCTGCAGCACCATCTCCTCCGACACCAAGTTCATGCTGAACATGCTCTACACCAAAGGGTCCTCAGAGCCAGGGAGGGAGAAGATCTTCCCTGAGGTCCCCTCACCTGCCCTGGTCCAGGGTGAGGTGGTGATAGATGCTGATGGAGGTGGCAGCCAGGAGCAGGAGGGCGCCTGGCCCTGTAGCAGGGCTCCAGACAGACCTGTGGCCAGTGCTCACGCCAAGCTGGTGTGTGCCATGTCCAGCATGGGTACCGAGATGCACACAAAGAAGCTGGAGAACACTGGGATGATGCCCATCAAGAAAGACGTGGAGCTGACATGGGAGCGCCTGGAGGCCAGCCCTGCACAGCTGAAGATCAAGGACCTGGACTTTACTGATCTGGGGGAAGAAGAAGACTTTGACATCTTGGACACAGGGCCGATGACCAATGTTTCCTTCCTCCCTCCCAGCATTGAAGCAACAAAAGCTGGAGCATTAATGGCACCACCTCCACCGCCTGCTGTCCCTGGCTGCCCACCACCTCCACCTCCACCTCCTGCAGTCCCTGGCTACCCACCCCTGCCAGGGCTACCAGGCCCTTCAGTAATGGATGGTCCCTCTGATGCCAAGAAGAAGAGGACAGTGAAGCTCTTCTGGAAGGAGCTGAAGCAGCTCGATGGCACTGTGGGGACAGGCAGGTTTGGCCAGGCGACACTGTGGGCATCTCTGCAGAGTGTCGAGGTCAATACTGCCAAACTGGAGCATCTCTTTGAGTCACGGTCAAAGGAAGTGCCAACTTCAAAGGTAGCTGTGGGCTGGTACCCATCAGCCAAGGGGACTTGAAGGGTGGGAGGAAGGCTGTTAGTTCCTTGGGGACCCCAGGCATGCACTGTCACCCCTACCCTCTGCTGAGGATATGTACCTGCAGCCTGGAGGCTTGGTGGGGACAGTGATGGATGGTTGTGTGGGTTTGGCTTACCACCAGGTAAGATCAGCTCATTATGTCCATGGTGTTTTCTTGAAGGTGAGCCCTTTGCCATCCTGTTCTCTTTGCAGAAGGCCATCGATGGGAAGAAGGTGGTGGTGGTGCTGGATCCCAAAAGGAGCAATGCTATCAACATTGGCCTCACGGTACTGCCGCCTGTGCACATCATCAAGACAGCTGTGCTCAACTTTGATGAGTTTGCGGTCAATAAGGAAGGGATTGAGGTGAGCACAAGAGAAGTTCGGCCCCCCTGAGGTCCTCATGTGGGTCATCTCCCCTGGCCAGGAGGCCTCCCTGCCACCGCCAGCCCTGCGGGTGACATATCTCATGGTGATATGTCTGGAGCCTGATACATCCCTCCTTGATCTAGAAAATCCTGACCATGGTCCCAACTGAGGAGGAAAAGCAGAAGATCCAGGAGGCCCAGTTGGCTAACCCTGATGTGCCCCTGGGCTCTGCAGAGCAGTTTCTGCTCTCCCTATCTTCCATCAGCGACCTCACGGCCAGGCTCCAGCTCTGGGCCTTCAAGCTGGACTACGAGACCCTGGAGCAGGTACAGAGCCATGTACCCCATGTGTCCTTCCACCACTGCCAGCCCCAGCAGTGCTGAGCACTGAGCCAAGTGGGGACCAGCCATGTCCAAGTACAGGAGGTACAATCCTGGCTGGGAACGGGCTGCAGGTCCCCAAGGCAAGCACAGGCTTGGGTTGACCATGAGGTAGTAACCCACATGGGCAAGAGCGAATGCTGAAGCTCCCAAGGGAGAGGGTGGCCAAGGGGTCTCAACTGCATCTTTCCTCACCCAGGAGATCGCAGAGCCACTCTTTGATCTGAAGGTGGGCATGGAGCAGCTGGCCAAAAACCACACATTCAAGTGCATCCTGGCCACTCTGCTGGCCATGGGCAACTTCTTGAATGGCTCCCAGGTGAGAAGCAGGGTGTGGAGGGACGTGGCCTGTCTTTAGTGCTGCAAGCACAGGACCGGCCATGGTGCATGGGGAGCTTGGGACAGCGCCTGAGTGTAGGTGGTGCTGGTTGGTCTGAGGACTGGAGATGTGCTGGAGGAGGGGTGGAAAAGGACTTGCTGAGTCCATTGTGGTTTCAGAGCAGGGGCTTTGAGCTGGGCTACCTAGAGAAAGTCTCGGAAGTGAAGGACACGGTGCACCGGCAGTCTCTGCTCCACCATCTCTGCCACATGGTGGTAGAGAAGTTCCCAGAAACAACTGACCTCTATTCAGAGATTGCCTCCATCACCCGCTCTGCCAAGGTAAGGCAAGGCAGATGATACCTGCAGGAGGCAAGGCTGGGGGTCCCACAGGTTCTCAGCTCCACAGCATGGCCAAGTGCTGACATCTTGCTCTTCCAGGTTGACTTTGATGAGCTCGCTAACAGCCTGGTGCAACTGGAGCGGAGGTGCAGGGCCTCCTGGGACAACCTGAAGGTGATTGCTAAGCATGAAACCAAGCCAGTGCTGAAAACCAAGCTGACAGACTTCCTCAAGGACAGCACCCAGCGCATTGTTGTCTTGAAGGTGGTGCACAGGCGCGTCCTTAACAGGTCAGGCTTGGGCCTTGGAGGCGCAGTGGGGAACCATCTCCGTCCCATCGGTGGCCTGGCATGACCAGTGTCCCCACAGGTTTCACTCCTTCCTGCTATACCTGGGGTACCCAGTGAGCGCAGCGCGGGATGTGAAGGTGACTCCTATCTGCAAGCTGCTGCGGGAGTTCGCCCTGGAATACCGCACGTGTCGGGAGCGTGTCCTGCAGCAGCAGAAGAAACGGGCCGCCCACCGCGAGCGGAACAAGACCCGGGGACGGCTTATCACCGAGGTATGGGCACACTCGGATGTCACCACCAGGTAATGCCCACCGGCTCCCTAACACTTGCATCTCCTCCTGCTGCAGACAGAGAAGTTCTCCAGCATTGCTGAGGCTGCTTCCCCACCTGCCGTGGTGTCCAGCAGCCCCAAGGAGCAGATGGAAGCAGGTCACGAGAGCATGAAGAGCCTGCTGGCCTCCCCCACAGACACCCCTGCCCGCCGCAGCCGCGCCAGCCAGGGTAGGAGCAGGATGGCAGGGGCACGTGAGGCATGCCCACCTGTCTGGGCACAGCTGATGCCGGCATCCACCTTGTCCGCATGCAGGGACAGGGCACACCAGCCCAGCCCAGGGCTCTTCAGCCCAGGAGGATGTTCCCAGCTCCCCAGACGATGCTTCAGATGAAATCATGGACCGGCTGGTGAAGTCAGTCACTCACAACGCCAATCCCCGTCCCTGTGCCAACAAGGAGCGCAGGAGGTCCCGCGGCAATAGGAAGTCCTGTAAGTCCCAGCACTGTCCCTGTGCCCTTTGCTGGCTCTCGTCCCTATGCTCTGCCTGTTTCCCTGTACTCTGTCGCACCTCTATGTCTGTCCCACCTGTGTCCCTGTTCCTGTGCCTGTCCCAGCAATATGTCTCTCTTCCCATGCTCTGCCCAGTACCTGTACTTTGTCCCATCCCAGTGTCCTTGTCGCCATAACCTGTCCCACCTCTGTGGCCCTGTTCTTGTACTCTATCCAGTGTCCCTGCCCAAATGTTCTTTCCCATCTTTGTATCCCTGTCCCATCTTTGTGCCTATTCATGTGCTCTATCCCCATGCCTTGTCCCATCTCTGTCTCCTTGTCCCCATACCCTGCCTGGCTTCTTTCCCTCTGGCCACCCCTGACCTCCTGTGTTGAGCCCACCAGGTTACAGCAGCATGTAACCTGAGACCAGACAATGCCACTGCACCCCACTACCACCCTTCCCCAGTATGCCAGGGCTACCCTGTCCAGTGGGCTCCCTGAGCCAGCGCTGCTCGTGCTGCCAGTGCCATCCTCTCCTCTTCCCACAGTGAGACGGACACTGAAGAGTGGGCTCAGCGATGACCTGGTGCAGGCGCTGGGCCTGGGGCAGGCACCTGGCATGGATGTTTGAGGGGGCTCGTGTTGCTTCCCACCACTGACAGGAGGTGGTGGCAGCTCCTGCTGCTCCGGGATTGGCATCCTTGGTCTCACCTTGCTTTTGCCCGCTGGTCTTCAGCTCCTGGACATGCAGGCAGCAGGATGGGAGTGATGCCCTGGAGTTGCTTTATGGGGATAGAAGATGCTCAGTGCCCATGCATGGGCATGGAGGCTGTGGGTTCATCTTCACAACAGTATTAAAGGAGCCAAGAGGCTGGACCCAGACCCCCTCTGGGAACTGGGTCTGGCCCATGGTACCTTTGGTAATAAAGTAATTGACACGCTGCTGGTGTCCCATGTTGCTGCGCTGGAGAGGCTGGGGGGATGTGGTGCCCTGTGCCAAGCCTGCTCCCCATCTCGGCTGCAGCCCCATCCCAGCTGCATCCCCATCCCTGCTGCATCAGGAGCCCAGGAGAAGCACTGGGCTTGCAGGGACCATCATCCCTCCAAGGGGTAGCATGGTCCTCTCTCTACCAGGACACACGAGAGGACCCTGCCAGCAGGAGCAAGGACTGCTGCAGGCTTGAGGCTGCACGCTCAAGGGCAGGAGCAGCGGCTCCAGCATGAGGGGTCAGTACAGCAAAAGCAAGAGTTCATGCACTGTCTCCAACTTCACCTCTCCCTTAGAAACCTCTCCTGGTGGATTTCAGCCAGATGTAGACCTGGGTGTGAGGCAGGGCTGGTACCCTCCCATAGTGAGTCTAGGGCACAGCAGCCATGTTGCCCTTACAAACCTGGCCAGCATAGAATCCCAGGCTGGTTTGGGTTGGAAGGGACATTAAAGCTCATTCAGTTCCAATCCCCTGCCATGGGCAGGGACACCTTCTGCTAGACCAGGTTGCTCAATATCTCCCTGGGCTTAGGGCTGCCTCATGTCAGCACAGCAAGGGCAGCATCTGCCATGCCCATGGGGGACTGGCAGATGTCCAGGCAGGAACATGCTACCTGCTGGCCCAGCATCACCCATGCCATCCTGGGCACAGCTTACAACCCTCACTGTATGCTGGCTGTGATGCTCCCAGTGGGTGCTAGGTGGTGGGTGCCATTTCTGAGCATCCCCTTCTGCCAGCTGCAGTGCTTTGGGCACTGTCACCTGTGGTAGAGGCATTTGGGAACAGAGTCACACCATCCATCAGAGCAGCTCCACCTTGGCGCTGCCCTGGTGCTGCCTCCAGCCCTGAATCCCACACAGCCAGTCCCTGTGGCTTTCAAGGAACGAAGAAGAACTTCACCAAGTAGGACAGCTTCTTCCTCCTGGATAACCTTTGTCCAGGGTTGTCCCTCTCCCACAAGGCTGGACACGCTGGTGGCCTTGGAGGAGCTGGTCAGCACCAGGTTGTGACGTTCCTGATGTGTTCCCGGGTGGCTCCAGGGACAGCAAGGTATCATGTTAAGAGCTGTAGAAGCCCCAGAGGTGGCTCTCCTCCCCTCTGGGTGCTTGCTTTGGATCCACAAAGAGAGGACAAAGAGGTCACAGCAGGCTACTTTGAGCCACTGAGATGCACAGCAGGAAGGAGAAAGGGGTAGGAAAGCATCTTCCCAGCACTCTGCACCTGCCCCAGGTACCCGAAGTGTACATGTGACAATCCCAGGACGGTTGCTGCTGAGGGTTTGCTGGGGGGGAAACTGAGGCAGGATGTCAAGAAATGCTTTCCCCTCCAAACCCTCCTGGTAATTTGATGGCTGTGTCCCCAGCGAAGGCCTCCACCAACCCCTGTTTATTTTTTTCCAGCTGGGGATTTTTGCAGCCTTGGAGATATTTCCAGGATTCCCAGCCTGGCTCCGGGCACACGCTGCCCTTGAGCGGCGCCTCAATGCTTGGCTTGGCTGCAGCACAAGGGGCTTAACGCCAGAACCCCACCAGACAGGAGCAGCACTCCTGGGATGGAGAGGGGTGGCGGCATGCTGGAGCCTCTTTGTAAGCGGAGGCAGGTTGGTGGGGACCTGGGACGCGGGTGGCACGAAGGATTTGGGGTGCTGCACCCCCAGGAGGATGCTCCTGGTGGGATGAGGTGACCTCTATAGTGGTGCCTCCATCCTGCACCCGGGCATAGCTCCTGCGTTGCTCCAGCCCATGTCGGCCCATGGCCACTGGTTGTGTCCTGCTGCCACGAGGGGGCACGGCGAGGCCACCCGAAACACACTTCGCATCTTATCGCTCTTCGTGTCGCGTCCTGCCGCTCTTCAGGCGCCCGCCACTACCCATCGCTTTGCTGTTGTACCCCCGCTGTCACTCAGGGGGGCTGCACCTTTCTTCCCCCCTTCCCCCCAGAGAGATGTCCTGCCACTTCCATGTCCCCAGTGGAATGAATGACAGCCATGTCCTTGGCCCTGGCCATCCATCTGGTTGGCGGGGACAGGTTCCTCTCCCCAGCACTCGTCCCTGGCCCCCATCTCGCCCTGGCCTCCTTCCAGACACTGGGGACAAGCCCAGCTCCTCTTGCTGTCCCATCTCCCCTCTTCTATAGCAGTTTGATGTCAGAGACAATCCTACCCTGTACACAGCCTGTGCTCATGTCCCCTGCCTCCTCCATCCTCCCCTGCCAGCCCTGTCCATGAGACTGTCCCAGCACAGAGTCTTCTTTGCTGCCAAGCTCCAAGGTCGGCTCCAGCCTCATGCCCCATGGGCATGTCCCCACTGCTGTCCCCAAGCTCAGGGAGGGAACCTCCTGTGGTCCTGGGCTCATAGTTGCCACGCAGCTGCAACACCCTGCGTGAGAAGCAAGATTCCCACCAGGGACAGCACAACCTCACTTTTGTTCAGAGGTCAGAGCCATCTAGAATGCCTCTTGTAAGCACCAGTGTGCCCTGGCCACCTTCCAGGAGCATCCTGATCATCTGCCCCACCACCCCAAATTCCTCCTACTGACTCAGCTGGAGATCTCCTCCTCCATCTCCTGTCTCCAACCCTCTTAAGCAATCCCAGGCTAGCAACATGCTCTGTTCTGCAACCACCTTCCCCAGCAGGACAGAAGCGTAGGATGGGAACCAGGTCACAGTTGCTGTGACCTACTGCCCTCTTCCCTGGGGCCAGAGGCAGCAGGATGTTACCTGGACCATGGCCTAACCAGCTTCCCCTGGGATCTGTCTTATGGCCAAGGGGAAGCCACATTTCCCTTGACCTGTCACCCTAAAATTGAGGTGGACGCCCTGTGATAGGCACAGATGAGATGGGAAGGTGACGCTGGACTGGCAAACCAAGCCAGGCATGGATACCATACATGCCAAGGAGATTGGGAATGCAACATACAAGGCATTAGTGGAGCTGGGAGCACTTTCAGAGCATCACTGATGCTTCCCAGCCACACCAAAGGAGCAAGGTCCCTGCAGCCCAAAAGCAGCTCTTGTTTGGAGAACCATGTGGAAGCTGGTGAAGGGTCTGGAGCACAAGTCTGATTGAGGAATGATTGAGGGAACTGAGGAGGTTTAGTCTGGAAAAAGAAGGCTCAAGGTGGACCTTATTGCTCTCTACAACTACTTGAAAGCAAGGTGGAGCCAGGAGGTGGCTGGTCTCTTCTCCCACGTAACAAGGGATAGGACAAGGAGAAACAGCCTCAAGCTGCACGAGGGGAGGTTTAGTTTGGAGATTAGGAGCAATTTCTTCACTGAAAGGGCAGTCAGGCATTGGAACAGGCTGCCCAGGGCGGTGGTGGAGTTACTATCCCTGGAAGCGTTCACAAACCATGTAGACGAGGCCCACAGTGCCATGGTTTAATGCTGGTCTTGACAGTGCTGGGGAATGGTTGGATGTGGTGATCTTAAAGGTCTTTTCCAACTTGCCATTTCAACTGCAATAGATTCTATGATTCTATTGTGCAGAAAGCCTGGCTGGTGAAGGGGAGCTGCCAAGGCTGCATGGGTGAGTGGACATGGGAACCCAGAGTCCTCACCAGGGCAGAAAAGCTCAAGGTCAGGCTGAGGAGTGGCTTCCCAGAAGGTGAAACCTCTCCCAAAGCCATGAATGTGGCTGGAAGCAGACCTGTGTTTGGTAAATGTCTGGGAATCCTGCACAACCTGAAGAAAACAAGTGAGGGGCAGGAATTTTCTGAGAATGAGGGGATTTGCAAAGAGCCAGATCTGGGGTCAGCACTTGGCTGGATGCTCCATGTTGCCATCAGTGCCCTTGAGCACTGGGGAGCAGCCCTGCCACTCCAGCCACAGTACCTCCGGAGCAGAGAGGTCCCACCAGGAGCTGCAGAGAGGTTTGGGCTGTGCCAACATCCAGCTGAGATGCAGAAACCCTCTGCAGATGTAGGATCAAGGCCTGGGACTCAGGCTGATCCCACCAACGTGGCATCAGATGCACAGGATGATGCGCACAGATTGTCACCCATGTTTTACAGCAGCAAAACACAAGGAAAGCCCCTAAAAAATTCCTCAGTCACGGCCTAAAGTAAGTTGGGAAAAGGGGAAGTCCTAGGGGGAGAAAGAGGAGAAGATCCCAGCACAAGGAGTTGAAGTGGCTGCTTGAGCAGTTGTGGCTTGCATTAGCCATGCCATGGGAAATACCTCCATGCTGGGCTTTGGTAGAACCCTGTTTCCATGCCCTGCACTTGGGGAAGGACCACGCGTATCTTTCCCCAAGTGTGGGGTGCAGGAAAGGCTTCCTGGACCTGAGCCTGGCTTAGCTGAATCACAGCTGCCCAAGGATTTGCCCTCTGTGAAGAAGAAAGCCACAATAAGAGAGCTCTCACTCAGCAAAGTCCAACCAGAACAAGTAGAACATTGCAAGTTCATTGGTAGGACACAAATATTTGATGCTGGGAGTAATTAATCACTGTCCTCTGTGAGACAAATTTTGACATTTTGGATCAAGATCAGAGTGAATTCCAAGCAGTGCAATGGCCTTTGTCATCCCTGAACTGTCTCTGGACCCCAGTAGGCTCCAGTGTGACATCTTTCCCGTGAAGAAGGATGGATCCACCTCCATCCCAAGGACTCTTTGAGGACATGGTTTGGGAAGTGGAAGTCCCA